TCTCCTCAGGCTGAATATTCGGCCGTGATAACAGTGACTGCAAGGCCATAGCCATCTGGTCCATTCTATGGTCCACGGCTTCAAATCTTGAGTCCTGGGAGCCAACCTGAGAACTAGTACCTGCAGGATCCATGGCCCTATCATAATGTCAGGATCGATACAGGGATCCAACACGCAGAGTACTAACAACTATAAAGACGTATACCGGACCTTAGAGTGGACGGACTAACATCACACAAACAAAGAATGGTCAGGAACGAGCCGAGCTCGAGGGAACAAGAAGACAGGTAAGCGGAAGCCAAGCCGAGTCCAAGGGTAGGAGAGAGAAGCAAAGTCAGAATACAAGCCAAGTCAATAACCACAAACCAATAACAGAAAACGTACTGAGGGAACAGACAAGCTGAAACCACGACAAGGCAATGATTCACTGTAAGTGAGTACCCTTTATACCCTGCCACCTTAATTGATGTCCACATCCCCAAAACGTCCTGGTTTGACTTTTTCGGTGGGCCGTGACGTCATCGATGTCATGACGTTGGCGAAATCGCGCCGTGCCATAAAAGGGGGCGGGGCTATCGCGGCCGGCGTCTAAAGTGCCGAAATTGCTGGAGAAGACACTTTGCAGACATAAGAGTTGAATTGCAACGAAACCACACCTCTGTTAGATCATCTTTAGAAGAGGTGGAGTTTTCACCTTCCTTCCACGGACTATATAGAGACTCATATCATCAGCATGTGGAACACAACGTTCGCCATTGTGGCAATACCTGCATTCCAATTAGACGTCTTATTAGCCAATCGGAATCGCCTATAATGGAACCCTGTGTTCCAAAGGGGGGAACAGGAACATGTAAAATGGCTCACTAACATTATGAATACAAGACTACCAACGTGTCACTTCCGGTATGATGTGTGCATTTCAACAAAACCAAAATACCATCATATATTAACAGAGCATTTTAAGGACCATCTCACACTTTTGAAAAAGCCTTGGAGAGACGAAAGGCGTCAAGTGGGACTCCTGCATCTAAGTTTAGATTCTTTTATTGCTTTTTACTATTTTGTTTAATTAAAGTTTGCTTTTTATAGCTATTTTCTTCCTGGTACCAACATATCCTTAGGTAGGGATTATAACACCCATGCTGTTTTTTTTTAATTCTTTATTTTTATTGTGCAGGTAGGTACATAGCTTTGTCAAGACGCCACAACAGCGTTTAGATATAGATGCATACAGGTTAGATAGTGGCATGAGTCTTTGCACATTTTTTAGATATATAACCAAGCTTAACGTGAAAATGAAACAGTCTGTGGAACATGCTTATGGTGTAGGAAAACGATATTATTTAAGTCAGATTCGGTACAGGCTAATATATATTTATAGCAACATGTGTGGCTGTTCTGTAATGTAAGCAAGCTATAACACAGTAAACATGATGGTCTGCTGGCTAGTAAGCAAGGTGTGTGTACATAGCTGGTGTGTTCTGGAGAGGACCGTTTAGGTGAGCCTGTGTAGCTTTGCTAATGTGGTTAACCCCTGGAGTGCCTCTGTGTAGTTCAGCGTTTGCTCCGCCGCAGGTAAGCGATTAAGGAGCCAAATATAGCTTAAGCTCTAACCTAAAATGGCATAAAATTATATAAAATGGCATAACATAAAATTGCCTCATGGGTGTGGAAGGGCATAGTGGAGCACCCTGGTGCCTTTTGTGGGATAGAGAACTATGTCCATGAGGCATGCGGGTGATGTGTTTGGGGTGGCATGTTCATGTCAACCAATGCCTCGGCTCGGTACAGCGGGTGAGTCTCTGGATTTCACTGCATGTGGGAGGTATGTCAGTGTGTCGGCTTGGTTTCTCCAGGCTTGAGAGCAAGTGCTTCTGGGATCCATAGTCATGGACTCTGTGAGGTGCCAAGTTCCTCCATGCCAGGAGATTGTGGGGGCTTCGGGTGGTATGCCGCTTAACACGTGTGCTGAGCTTCCACTGTCGCTGTCTGTTCTTTGCAGTTGTGGTTAAAGCAGCTTTCTGCCCTGACATGTTTGAAGCAGGTTTCATACATGCTTTTGGGGGTTCTTTGCCCTTAAGGGATTAAGGTTTTCCGTTCCTCACGCCATTCTGCTGGTCTCCTTGATGCTGGGCTGTGAAGGTAGCGTTCGAGCTTCAATCTTTTGCCAGAGCCTCTTGAGTACCCTCTCCAGGCATTGCAGCATGTTGTCTACCAAGCCTGGTAAGGTCATCTCCGGCCTGTGCAGCTTGCACCCCTGTTCAGGGAGCTCGTCCGCCATCTTGGATGTTGCAGCTGGATACACCGTGGGGCGTTTGTCGGTCATCTGAGTGCGGTGTGAGTATGGGTGTAAGAAACTATTCAGGGGGGACCGGGATAACCCACACCGGTCCATCGGGGGTGGGGGGAGTAGCACTAGGTGGCCAGGCAGAGCATTAGGAGAGCATCCGGCTCTCCCCCGTTCGGTCGCTGGACGGCCGCAAAGCCTCAAGTTAAAGGTTTTCCGTGGCGGAGAGGCCCGCGAGAGGTGTACCCCACACCACCGTCGTTTCTGGATCAAGCTTAGGCGAACTGTGCATCCAGGTAAAGGTTTGGCTTAAAAATATTGTCAATTATAAGGTGCCAGGCGCTGGAGCACATTCAACACACGTCTGGTCAGCTCAGTAGCCAGGCTCCGCCCCCCATGCTGTTTTAACTAGAGCAAGTCTTTCTCTAGTAAATGTAAGTACATTACTTTATTTTCTTTTTTTGTTTATACAGTACTCACTTCAACATTGGAGTTTTTGTTTCTCTTTGTATTTGTTTCCATATATACTAAGCATATTTGCATTGCAGTTTGGAGCACCGGTATTGCCTACATCACCATATATCCTTAGACGGGGATTATACCGTCCACGAGCAACACAGCAGAGCTCTTAGATAGCTCAATCAAATGTGAGTGGATCTCATTTAGCACTAACATTCCAATTTATATACTACTATACTGTATTGCACTATTATTGTGTTTTTTTTGTTATTCTGAGGTCTAAAGTATTACATCATCTGAAGATTAATGTATGTATATTTTTGGGCGCGGTATACGCCTTTTATTTTACTATCTGTTTATTCACGAGGTTTGGGAATCCTTGTACTGTGTATTGCAACCCACATTAACAGACTACAAAGCTATATTGAGCGTCTATTACCCTAAAGTTGATAGACAAGTTCAACCAGGGTTTAGTTGGTATGGGTAAAGGTTGGAGCAATCCATATGGTACCCGGTGAATGGTCTTGTTGGTTGCACAATTGTCACAAGCAAGCACACAGTCGTCTTGTTAACAATGAAGAGGATACGGAAAGGAGTGTTGTGGCTACGATTCTTTCCAGGGGAATGATAAAACACTTCTCCAGCTTCTCCTCTTCACTCACATCGAATTGCCTGGGCAAAGCACCGGTTTCAGCATTGCATGGTCCAGGTCAAGTGATTATAAAATTAAATCTGGACAAGAAGAGAGACCATCTCACCTACCTGGAATTTAGCCGTTTAGCTTCTCAAAGGTACAAGAGGTTCTTGTAATCAGTCAATACCATGATAAGATCTAGGGAACCCTCTAGGAAATCTCCACTCCTTTAAGGCTACTACAATGGCCAATATTTCTCTATTGCCAATATCATAGTTTAGTTCTGCCTGTGAGAATTTTCTAGAAAATAAATCACACGGGTGCAAAGGCTGGTCAGGGGACCAGCGCTGGGAAAGATTACTCCTACCTCAAAAGCATCTACTTCCAATACAAAAGTGAAGGGTGGGGATGTCGGAGGATAGGGGCAGAAACAAAAGGCTTTTTTCACAGCCTCTCAGAGGCTTCCCTTTCCTCAGGCTGCCAAACATAGTGGTTTGCAGCCTTCTTAGTGAGATTCGTGAAAGGAGCAATAATGGTAGAGAAATTCTTTATAAACCTCCTATAATAGTTGGTGAACTCTATGAACCTATGGATAGGTTTAAATCCCTGAGGCAAAGGCCATTCAACAACCGCTGACAACTTTTTGGGATCCATACTGAATCCAGAAGCCGAGATGACATAACCCAAAAAATAGACTTCTGTTTGATCAAACAAACACTTCTCTAGTTTACAATATAAACCATTGTTGAGAAGTGTTTGTAAGACGTAGGAGACGTGTACGTGATGTGTACTTAGGTCAGGGGAATATATCAGAATATCGTCTAATTACACGATCACGAACGAATGTATGAAGTCTCTGAGGACGTCATTGATAAAATCTTGAAAAACTGACGCAACATTAGATAGGCTGAAAGGCATGACTGCATATTCATAATGCCTACTTCTGGTGTTAAATGCATTTTTCCATTCATGCCCCTGTTTTATGCGTACCAAGTTGTATGCACCCCTTAGATCCAGCTTGGTAAAGACAGTGGCCCCTTTTAACCTGTCAGAAATCTCCGAAATAAATGGAATAGGTGTTATGCTTCGGTTGATAATAGACAATTTAAAGGAACACAACTGCAGAATTATTATTTTATTTTTGGTACTGTACCGAAAAATCGAGAGAGATCAATTGGGATTTCTTGAAAAGTTTTATTTATCTTCTATCTCTCTGATAATGAAATAGGATGTGGACAATTGTAATTGCTTCCAATACATGCATGCAGCATAAAACAAAAATGAAGTGCCTTGATTGATAGTTGCAACAGTTGTAGCAAAGTCTTTATATCACTTGTAATAGAAGTTAGCATGCAGCATTAAACAAAAATTAATTGGCTTGCTTGAATATTTGCAACAGTTATATCAAGAGAGAAAACAAAGTATTTACAAGGTAGCTAAAGTAGTTGAATCTTATGTTAGTAACAAGTGGCTTGATTAAGTAGGAAATAGTTGGTACTTATGTTTTTCCTGGTAATCAGACTCAGTGGAAGACGATCTTGTCTGCTCAGAGTGTTATGAGACATCCAGCTGATTTATGAACGAAGGTTCAGATTAGTTGAGATAGATAACGGAATTCCGATGTCAGTCCTGGTCTTGGAGAGGAGATGGCAGCGTGGTCTATGTCCAAGAAGAGATTCAATGAGAGGAGAAGACCACATCAACATTAAATGTCGGTACACAAGAGAAGTAATACGACAGCTAAGCTTGGTGTTCTCAAGGTTGAGACAAAATCACTCAGCAGTTTGATGGTGCGTCTCCCCTGTAAGGCAGGTGAGTCTTGTGCCATTAAGGTGGGAGGAGTTTACTTCCGAACGCGGAAGTAACCCAGAGGAAATGGAGTTTCGGTAAGTTCTGACAATGGGATACTCATTTTTGATCGTGATCTTATTCAACCCTCTATAGTCTATGCAGGGGCATAGGTCTCCTTCTTTTTTGATACAAAAAAGAAACCAGCCCCAGCCAGAGAGGAAGATCTAGGTATAAGACCCTTTGCTACTGAATCTTCTATATACTCCTCCATGATGGCACTCTCCTGGGAAGACAGGGGATAAACACTTCATTTAGGTGGCATAGTACCAGGAGATCTATAGCACAATCATAAGGCCTATGAGGTGGTAATCTGTCTGCCTCCTTCTTATCAAACACTGCTTTCAGGTGTACATGAGGGGATGGTGTGTCTGTAGACAGCAGTGGGGCAGTCGGAACATTAGTGAAACAAACAGGAGTGACCTTTTTTATACACTTCTCCTGACACGTATCACTCCATGAGATGATTTCACCCTGTCTCCAATTAACAGTGGGGTTGTGTAGCTGTAACCAAGGATAACCCAGTACGATTGATGAAGAAGGGGAGGTTATCACCTGAAAACACAAATCTTCTGTATGTAACAGACCAGAACGCATAGTCAACTGTTCTGTCTAATATGTGATTTACAGAGAATATAAAGGTCTACCATCTATGGCCTCAATGGCCAAGGGTGTCTCCTTCTTTCTTAGGGGTGGTAAGTGGGTCCTGACCAAACCCCTGTCTATAAAATTATCAGCTGCTCCAGAATCTACGAGCGCTAAAACGTCTATAGACTTCTCACCCCAAGTTAAGATGATGGGGAGAAGTAATCTTTTATGAGGCAGTAAAGAGTATTCTGATGTCTCACCCAAGGGCGGTCCCCTGAGTGACCTTAGGTGTGACAGTTTTCTGGACGCACTGCACAAGTCAATGTAAGATGCCCGTTCTGGCCACAATATAAGCAGAGTCCCTCCTTCCTCCTATACTGTTTCTTAGCCTCAGACAATTTTGTCACCCCTAGTTGCATGGGCTCAGTATCTGTAGAAGAAGAAACATCAGCAACTGAGGCTTTATGAGTTTTGTTAACAGTAGGACATCTAACACGAGTCTTCTGTTGGGCTCTTTCCTGTAGTTGATTATCGATGTCGATTAGATAATCAATAAGGTCTTCTAGAAGGACTGGAAGATCTCTGAACGCAGAAGCCAAACCACTATTGGTCCAATCCACCTCAGACAACAGTGCAGAAACTAATCGCATAATCCGCTTTGGATCTGTTTCCCTGCTTAATCCAGGTGGATCTAACACTTTACGGAAGGCTCTTACAAAGGTTTTGTAATCATAAACCAAGTCCTTGTTTGCCTCCCATAAAGGATTAGGCCATTCCAAGGCCTTGTCGGTTAACTGGTGCATAAAGAACCCGACCTTGGACCTTTCAGTGGGAAAAGACCTGGGAGATGTTTCATAATGAAAGTTTATCTGGTTTATGAACCCTCAACAGATCTTAGGATCGCCACCATATCTAGGAAGTGGTGTCATGCTGGTGGTCATACTGTTCTAACCAGAAGCTTCAATCACCACAGGCACAGGCTGGTTAGGCATAGGTGGAAGGTTTTCAGGAGAGGGCTACTCTGGCTAATAAGGTCTGGAAGGCCTGAGCGAATTGGTCAATTCTATGGTCCTTTTCCTCAAAGTTATCCTGGCAAGGATTCTGTGGAGCTCCCATTCCTGCACGGTCCATGGCCCCATCATAATATCATGAGAGTCGTAACCCAACACACAGGAAAGAGAAAACCCACAAAAGGTGGATCCGAAAGACGTATTATCAAGCCTTAGAGTGGCCGGACTTAATGTATAATACAACAAAAAACAGGGCAGAGGTGGCTCTCTAATGAGGCGATTTAGGCGTCCGCCTAAGGCCTCGCCCTGTCTGTAGCCACCTAAACCACCTTAGGGCAGACTGTGCCAGATCCTTGGGCTGTGACTGAGGACCCGACACTAGGAGGGGGCCCGGCGGCTTGCTCTGTATGTCGCTGAGTGCGAGGCCCCTCCTGTATGCCGCGAGGAGAGTGCCCATCGCAGATGCTGTGTCTCGTAAGATCTGATCAATCAGAGCATTGCTGCAGGTTACCACGGCAATGCACTGACCAGGTCTCGCAAGATACATGGTCTGTAGGTCACTGCAGAGCTGCAAACCGGCGACCATGGCCACCGGACCATCAGGGAGCCCACTAGACCAACAGGGGAAACAAAAGTATTAATTCATCCCTCCCTCCCAGTGTTCCCCTCCTTCACATTATCACCCCCCCTCACGGTATTACCCCCTCCCTCCCAGTATCCTCCTCACAACATTACACCCTTCCTCGCAGTATCTCCCACACAGTATTCCCCCTCATAGTATTACCTCTCCCTACCAGTATCCCCCAACAGTATTACCCCCTCCCTTCTAGTATCCTCCCTCACAGTGTTTCCCACCTCCCTCTCAGCATCCCCCCACACTATTTCCCCCTACCTCCCAGTATCCCGCCGCACTCCCAGTATCCCCCTCACAGTATTAACCCTCCTCCCTCCCAGTATCCCCCACAGTATCCCCCCTTACAGTATTACCCCACTCCCTCGCAGTATCCAACCCTTACAGTATCGCCCCTGATCCCCCCACAGTATTTCCCCCTTTCTCCCAGTATCACAGTATTAACCCTCCTCCCTCCCAGTATCCCCCACAGTATCCCCCCCTTACAGTATTACCCCACTCCTTCCCAGTACCCAACCCTCACAGTATCACCACCTCTCTCCCAGTATCCACCTCACGGTATTGCCCCCTCCCTCCCAGTATTCCCTCTCACTATTGCCCCCTCCCTCACAGTATCCCACCCACACAGTATTATCCCCCTTCCTCACAGTATCACCCCCTCCTTCACACCATCACCCCCTCTTACATACCATCTCCCTTCCTCACAGTATTACCCCCTCTCACACACCATCACTCCACTCCCTCACACCATCACTCCCCTCCCTCACACTACCACTCCCCTCCCTCACCGTATCACCCCCGTCCCACACAGTGTCACCCACTGTCCCTCACAGAGTCACAGACAGGGTCACTCTTCTCACACACACTGTCACCCTGCCTCACACACACAGTCACCCCCCACAATGTAGTGTCACCATACTCTCACACACTGTCACATATCCACACATTGTCATCCCCCCACACTTTCAGCCCTGACACACTTACCTCCACTCACCCTGTCACACTCCCTCATCAAACCATGCCATAGTCGACCTTCCTCATTCTCTCTCACAACCCCCCACCCTGTCCCATTTACCTCCCTTGTCCTGTCACTCTCCCTACCACTGGTACCTCTTTATTCACCCTGTCACAGTCACCAGCTGAAGACATATATCATATACACTTTATTATTTGGTAAATTATTTATACACGACTTTTTTTGCTCATACAAAAATTTATTTTTGTTTTCAATAACCCTTATGTATACACGACTTCTAGGCTATGCAACCATACCCCACAATTGTGTATAAACAGTTAACATACTTGCAAATTAAATGTATTTATTGCAAATTAATTTTGTTTGCAAATTATGCTACGACTACAGAGAGCTCACAATGCAGAGGCACAGGAGGCTATGACACTGCAAGCTTCTGAACAATGAATGCAGAGATTAACTCTCTGTATCCAGCACTGCAAGCCCACCTTTCAATATAGCGACTGCTCCTTATACACACACATAATGCAACCACTATTTTTATTTTACTTTGGGTGTTAGTTAGTAGGGCCTCATGTTGGAGTTTTGTCTACGGCCTCATAAAGTCTAGAGCCACCTCTAAAACAGGGTCAAGATAAATCAAGGACAGGCATAACAGAAATACTCAGAGTCAAAAAAATGCCCAGTCAGGATACCAGAAATCACGAGTCAAATACAAAGCCGAGGTCAAACACAGGAAATCACAAGGGAATTTCTAGGAGCACTAAATGAGGATCTAACAGAAACCATGATAGGGCAATGAATGGGGTCTAAAACAAGCCTTATATAGGCGTACCTATGTTCTGATAGGTCCACGTCATCACTGCGATTCAAAACAGATTAGGATTGCAACGATGACATGGTTACTTTAAGAGTGGGTGTGAAGTCACGTCCACATCTATATATAGACGTCCTGCCATGCGGCCGCATAGTTCGGTCACATCGCTCGGCAGGAGGAGGTCTGCATTGATCGAGGTAGGGGAGTCTGCCTCAGTGTGCCATGCTGTCGCGTGGAGCAGTCAGATCACGCGACAGGATGAGGTCTGCGCGGCTTTGCAGAGGTAAGTAATGCCACAAAAAATGACTTCGTTAGCTGCTACCAACAATCTTTTCTTGGTATGTGTCCATATGTCCATATGCCAGGAATTCATAACATTGCCGCCAATCAACTATCTTGCTTTTGATTACAGGTCTTAATCTGGCTAATTACTCTGGTCACTCCTTCCACATAGGTGCCGCCACCACTGCCCCCAGCATAATATACCTTATAAAAAATATAGTTCACCCAAACATAATGTTACACAAAACATATTACTACATGTAAAGGCCCACACCTAACATACAGCTACCACAAAAATATGCAGCTTCCTCCAGGATGGGTTCTCTCATGCGGGAATATTACCTATGCTTATGATTTGTATACCAGGTAAAATAACAGCTGGCCCCTGCACCCTCGCACGTCTAACCATGACTTTCTAAATCTGACTTGGCTTTTAAAACCACCAAGTAAGCAGGCCCAACCGAAGCAGGAGAAACGTAAAAGATACTCTTACCCCTGGGGTTTTCAGGCCTAGCAGCCAGTGCTGATAGCGGTATTTTCCCCTGCAGAAAGGTTTATTTGTGTATTTCTGCTGGGGCGTTCTGGACTTTCAGTATGGTAGTAGTGCTATCCCAGATAGCTATGCCATGGAGCCTATTTGTGTAACAAAAGACTATGGAAAAGACTTTGGCTCCATGGCGATTGAATTGTATGTATGTGATCTGAGCGCCATTCAATAATAATGTGCACTCAGATCTAAGCTATCTGGGGATATGTTGCATGTATATGTTTTATGTAGTAATTGTAACATTGTGTAATTTTATGTCTTTTTGTAACCATGTAGTTAATGGAGTCTTGCCTCTGTCCTGGGAGATAATTTGATTACTTCCCAATTATCTCCAGGATAGAGAGGATGGATTGTGATGTCACTGTGGGAGTGTTTTGTTTGTATTGTGTGTGATTGGTTATACTGGATCCCACCCTGTGGGATGTCCCCTTGCATGGGGACTTGCATAAAAGCCAGTGTGTGGTCATTAAAACCAGATCATCTTGTACCTTTCTTGAAGCCTTGGCTCATGTTTGGGGGAAACACTCTGGGGATTGCTATAATCACTTACTCCCCAGTGTAAGCTCTTGCAATAGCTTGATTTGTTCTTGCTACGCTCACTGGATTTAGGAGAGGTTCACCCACTGGGAGCAGGATCCTGGTTTGGATCCAGGGTGGGTGGAGACGGCGAGACCCCGGCGCAGCTGTATCGCTGGAAGTGGGGTTTGCAGTGCTGATGGTGTTGGTTGGAGTGCTTGGAGTCCTCAGCGAGCACTAGACGCATCGATTGGCGGAGGTACTCAGTCGGAGTGCCAGCGTTCCGTCACAGTATATATATAAATTATATATACATGTATTATATCTATATATAACATATGTATATATATATCATATATATAATGTCATACTAAGTGTATTTTTATATTTATATATACGTATATTAATATAAAAATACACTTATATTTAAATTACACACATATATATACAATATAT